TCTAGTTTTATTAATATGTATGTTGAATCTTTGATAAGTAATATTATTTATCATTAGTGATGATCATTGCCAGTTTAGATTGTAGTATGCCTCCTAATTTATTGTTCAATGAATTTGTGATCTATTCTAGTACGTTGAACAATAAATTAGGGATTTACTAAAAACTATGAATGCTATTATTCATTTTTGATGGATTACTTTGCAATCCAATTGATCACTAGATACGTAATATATTGAGTTAAAACTATATTTTTTTCCTAGTCAAATGTTTAAGGATAATTACACATACACGATTTTTTATCGGGTAAATTGTATCAGACATCCCAAAATTTTCAAAAATTCCATGGGGGTCTCAAACATTTCATTTTTGCGCCCGAAGTTCCAAACCTTCAATATGTAGTGCTAGGTCCCACAGACCGTTTCCAAACAAAAAATTGCCAGTCGAAGATTGATCAACTTTTAAAAGGACAAAAATGCCTTTTATATCTTATTTAAAATAATTAAAAAAAAAGGAAAATAAAAAGTTAAAGAAAAGAATAGAAAAATGATGAACAAAAAAATATATTAAAAAAAGTACACACCCCACCCTATCCTACTCCACCTAATTTGCAACTGCTACCATCACCGTCACCTAACAAACCCGTATCTCTTCCCTAGTGTCGTGGTGGTTTCGCGAGATCGGGGGAGAAAGAGTCCACTTTTATGTGGAAAAGGTCTATATATAATTATGATTTTATGTATGGACAAATTCTTGATATCTCTTGCATTTGTAACAAAATATTTTCTTTGTACATCAATAAAAAACATGTTAGATTCCATATAAATTAATAATCATAGCCAATTTGCTTTTGGTCTAAACAAATTTAATAATTATTTGATTCGAGTTAATAAGTTGAATCTTGAACTTAGAAATAGACCCTAGCTCACCATTTAATACGAAGTGATGGGAACAATGGAAATTGTGAATGCAAATATTTTATTGAAAAAATTAAATCTTAATTATTCCCTAGTTGGGATGGCAAAAGAAACCAAATATCAATTTAACAATTGGAAGAAGTAGTAAATGAGTCTTGCAAATGAAATAGAGATTTAAAGAATAATTATTAGCCCGCGAATACTTTTTTGGTTGCTAATTTTGAATAAAGGACAAAACAAAATTTTTAGGACATTCTAAAAAACTATGTTTTAGGAAATATTTTTTTTTTCAGTTTTTTTTTTTTGGGCAATGGAAACAAATTTTATAACCAATTGTGAAAATAATTATCACTTTAATGGACAATTTTCATGTAAAACAAAGTCAAACGAATACAAAATTTAAAATTTTTTCGGGTGAAAAATTATACCAATCAAATACACTTTAAGGCACCGTTTGGTAATCATTCTTTTTTTCATTCTCATTCTTCTACTAATTTTCAACCACACATTCATCAATAAAATAATATTTTTCATCACATCAATACCTTTTCCTTCATTTTCAACCACAAAAAAGGTGTGATTTGACACAAAGAATACATTTTTTCTAGAATAATGGTTACCAAACGGTGCCTTAATTTTATTTCATCACGATCACCCAACTTTATATTTAGTATAATCATGAGAGTAATGTTAGAGGTACATAATGATGCACATAATGGTGCACATAATGGTGATGCGTCAATCATCCAGTTATTGATGTGTAAGTGTGAAATTTGAATTAAAGGTTGGATTATATGCCACGTGTAATTATGTCAACCCTTATGTAGATGCTTGTGTACCGTAGCATTACTCTAATCATGATCACCCAATTTGATTTTATTCCTTAATGACCATCCAGTTTTATATAATGTTTTAATATGATCACCTAATTTCATATAGCATTTCACCATGACCATTCAATTTATTTTCACAATTTTCACTAATTTTAGCTCATGTTTGTCTACCATTATTCCAAAACATTGTTTGCTATAGTAAAATTCTCCACCACA